TTTGATGTAAAACCAGATTCTCTTAACTGACATTGAAAGAAATAGGTAACAGCTTGATTGGAGAATTACCCATCAGATCTTAGGTGTCTTGGAGTTAAGGAGTCTATTAAAAGAGCAACAAAAGAAATACTTATCCTTGCCAAATGGATTAATGGATTATGGATTAATGTTCACAAAACAGATCACACTGCATAACTTTGGGGTTAATTCCTGATATTAGCATTTAACAATTAGAAAACAAACTTTAGATTTCTATTCTGTGATGGTTGATGAGGGCAAAGCCCAAAGTAATAACTATCATACAAAGAAATCAAGAGAGAATAATTAAATTGTTTTAGTATGGATCTTCTTGTTGTTCAAAATTTAACAACTAGACAAGCTGCTGTTTAATTCTTTTATATTTTCTACAACTACACACTGTTAGCCTACCCACTTTCTTCCCTATCTATACAGCTAGTAGCATGGCCAATTAGATTGCAGCATCTGTGATAGAAAACTACTGGATTTATACTAATTAACAACTATTCACTGAAGTGGAAGTAGCTAATGGTGGATATTTGTGATAAGGTAAATATCCACCAATAGTTGTCTTAGTATATAACAAAACAGTGAGATGATAAAGTTCAAAAAGATGATTCTAACCCAATTATTCTTGCCACAATTACAATATATTTGGGCTCAAATCCTGTGTACGTTGCTCTGAGGTGAATAGAAAAGGATATTCAGAGTATGAGTAGCCAATCAGAGCATGCCTTCAACTCTATAAACTGTTTTAGTATGTAATAATTTGCGATATTCTTTGACTACAACATAGCCAAGCTCTGTTACTGGGTATTGATTACAACCCTGGTGTTGCAACAATGGTATCTCGTTCTCTGTGCTTCAGTCATAAAGCAAATGAAAGTAGTTTTTCCATTGAGAGACATCTGCTTTAAGCTCAGCTTTAGTGTCGATTTTACTCACTTACCATCCTTCTCTCTAACTGTAGCATATCGGCTGTTTGCCAATGGGCAAGCCTGTTTGCTGCACAGCCCTGTAACATTATTCTCATTTCTACAAAATTTCTGAGTCGTAGTTCTGCAAAACAACAAAAGCAACTTTGTCACCCGCTCTAATTTGCAATGAAAAATTAGAATAGTAGTTATGCCTTTGAAGTTTATCACAATGATTCGATGCTATAAGATTATAGCAATAGCCAGTATGTGCGATCCTTCGCCAATTTAAACTTCTATTACAGACAAATACGTGATAATAATGATACTTACTTTACTTTAAATGAACAGAACCCGTGATTAATGACTTGCCAAATCACCTATTAAAAAAGAAACAATACTTCAACAACAGGCTAGCTCATAAAATTTACGAAAAACGTTTTAAACAACAGGAGTACACCGGCGATCATTCACAAATCTTCTTATCAAATCGAGTTTCAAAGTGATCACGAAGCACGTGTGTTTTCATCATAAGCCTACAACCGACCTCATCGTGTTGCATATTGTCCTTGTTTTGGCGTTACTGTATTACAGTCGTGCTAATAAATCACTTAACGCCTTTTAAATATGTAACAGAGCGCTTTTGGAAGACTATTGCCCAATTTCCATTATATGATTCCTGAAACTACACAACTTTAAAGTTTCTCCAACAAACTTAGTAACCAGGCATCGAAGGGAAACAGAGCAGATGTAACTAGGGAGGGCTGAGGTAGATATGTTCCCGACTTCCGTTCTAGTTAAGAGCTTCTTATCTGAATATAGATAAAAATCACTCTAAAGTAGATGATTTTGGATGCATGCGTACTTGAAATGGGATTAATAATCCCAATATCTAACCATAGGGGTGATATTAGAGGATACAATAATCTATCTTCCCTGCCCTACCCTACCGAAGAGAGAGTGATTACTGTAAATATCGGTCAATCATTATTCCCACGCACATCTTGAATCACATCGTTCGTTAATGGTCTAAATTGAAAGTTATTGCAATTAGCAAGAAATGGCAGCAAACCATCATGGCATATTACACGAAGAAAACGACAGTGAAGATGGTAAGCTGACAGATTTGTTATTAGCATTTTTAAGTGGCTGTAAAGGACTTCGACATGTAGTTTATACTTAAGTGTTGTCAGCCATATCCTGCAGCTGGTGTCTTTAATGAATAAAAGTTGAGGAAAATGGTTCTGTTCTTTCCGTTTAAGACCGTTCAAATCCTATCGTGAGGGTCTTCTTTCTAAATGCTTGTTAACGTTTGACCACGGCTAACGGAACTATCACAAGTTCTCTACTGTGTCATCTGGGCAAATTTTTGACACAAGAAGGCTCTGAAAACTCTCCTACATTGATCCTTATGGAATGTAACTTTTACAGATAAATGGCACCATATAGATGTATCATTTTATCGTGACGTTTTTAATATGTTTCGAAAACCCGCACCTGCGTCTAGAGCTCTCTTAAGACCAATATTGTCATTAGTTATACATGAGTAGTCCAAATTTGACCAGACACGCATCTTGCTCACGCAAACACCACCCACATTGACATAAAATTAACAAAAATGTTGCACATTGCCGTGCGTTTCTTCAACAATAGATCACAGATGATGTAAAAATGTGGTGAGAACAAAATCGTGGCACACAAGGCAGACTGCAATATGGAATCTACTTGTTTTGCATGATGAAGAAGCAAAAAGTTGTCTGTGATAATGTCACCTATGCGTCTGTCCTCTAATAGGTGATAAGTAAGAAGCAATAAAACGTATGCAAAAATCAGCTTATTATATAATATCAGGCATTTAGTGAAATTACTGCTGCATTCTAATTAAAACTCATGTCAGCTTTCATCCATAACATATTTTAATCATAATGTTTGGAAGAGATATAATTTATTAAATACATCATAGACTGCTGAGGAATGTATAAATTAAACTGGTGGAAAAGAAAAAGACCTACTTTTGATTTCTTTCAACAAATTCATCATAGCATATCTTTGGAGGAGAGGTAGATTGACGTCATTTTTAGTTGTAATGATGCACTCTCCAGGTATACATTTCATTAACTTGCTCATTGATTTAACCAGTGAAAATTTAAATGGATGTTTATTTAAAATTATAATTTCAAATGAAGGAGATCAAATTTCATTGTGTCAGCCTTCAAGACTGATACAAAATTTTCAACTCCTCAATTGAAGAACTGATCATTGAAACAAATATGGATGAAATTTGTAGTTCAAAACTCAAATGAATTGCTGGTTTTGAACCAAGAAATTATTTCTTTTCAGCATTTACAGTAATAATTTCAAATTTTATTATTCCTGAGGAATACTTGACCAAGCTTCAATCATAGCTTGCATCTGCGATTGTTCTCTTGTCAGATGCAAACCATAGACTGGGAAAGATCACAACTCACCAACAGTTAACTGCCACCTGCCTTTGCAGCAAATTGTTCTGTGACTTCTGATACATGACACTGACACTTACACCAACTGTTAGATGTACACAAATTCAAAAAATACTTAATTTGTACAATTTGCTATAAAGAAATAGTGTGTTGTCTTTTAAAGATTAAATTACCTGTTGCATGTCACACAAAGCAATCTGCCTTTACAGTTTGTCCCACCATTGTGTCTCTGAAACTGATCCTCTACTGGATTGTAACTTTTACTCTTACTAAAAGTTTTATGTTTTGGCAGGCCATCATGTACACTTTCCAGAGGATATCAGTGCCAACACAGAAATTCAAATACAGATGAAAGGAGACTCAATAGCCAATGTTCACTTAGGCTTCCTCCAACACAAACACAAGTATCAGATACAATTAAACCTTCCAATTTCACCCAAGTCTACCTCACTGACACCTATAATCAATACACCTTTCATAGCAGTAGGCAATGTTAACAGTCCAGGTAAGTTTGTTGTGATTGTTATTTTTGAAACATTTTTTTCCAGTTTTATTGCATGACTAATTTCATCTTGTCACTACTGAAACATAGCAGCATGACGGGTTAGTTACAATTTAATCTTTTTAACCTCAAGAATGACCAGCATTCAATTTCTCCTTATAGAAATAGTGTCAAATCATTCGTAAGGATCATGAGGATAGGGGACAAAATCGCCAACCTAAGAAGCTTTGATTGTTAAATTCTCCCAGTCAGTACCAAAGGAAATGTAAGAAGAGTATTGAGAATATGGATACAGTCAAACCTTGCTTATCCAAGTTTTATGATTATTCGGACTTGCTTCTCTGGTACCGTTACCTACAAGCATTTATATTCATACTTAAGATTATTCTTTGAATGTTTGTTGGATAGGAGATGGTATATAGCCCACGAGGCACAAATAGAATGAGTGTTTTATTAAATTTCATTAAATCCTGAAGGTCTGGATATTTAGAGCTTTTTTCAGCTCAGCAACAGTTGGCACAATGCACTTCCATATAAGAATATGAGTTGATAGCCAGAACTGAGAGAATCAATCAGAACATTCAGAGTTGGAAATTTAATAATTTTGATCATTCAGATTCTCGATTGTGCAAACTATTAAGCCTAGTCCCATGAGTCTGGAAAATCAAGGTTCTTAGGATGCAAAAAGGGTTAAAAAAATTTTGTTATTGTTAAATCTTTAGGAGATGACAAATGTCATGAGGTCACACTGGAGCTTGATGCACACAAAGAAGGTCTTCTTAGGGACAAATTTGTGCTAAAAAATGAAGCTGGGGAAGAATTTGTTATTGTACTTCATGCACGGGTTCTTGGATCTCATAAAGGAACTCCAATGCTGAAGGAGGGTATACACTGCATACACCATGCAAAAGATGAGGAGGAGGATCACAGCGATTGGCAGGGCTTTGATTGACAAGAGCCTGCCTACTTAGAAGAACTACAGTAGCATATTTTATTTTAGTCTGTGGCTACGAGCTTCATTTACACCTTCCTGAACTTTCAAAAATAGTGGTTAGTTTGTAATAATATTATATATTGTAAAAGGTCAGCTTAGAACAGGAGGTGTGATGGAACAGAGGTAAAAGCACTTGCCTCCCACCTCTGTAACCCAGGTTTGATTTTTAATTAATATGTAATATATTTTAAATCATGAAATCCCTTTTTGATGATTTTTGTCAGTTGTGAACAGTAGGGAAGCAATTCAGCTAAGAAACATTTTTGAACTGTAAATAAAACTAAATCAATGTATTTCTAATGTGAAAATGTGTTCTGGGCATGTACATGAAAGCATTTCTAGTATCATGAATTTAAGCAATAAAGCATTTAAAGCAATAACTTACTGAAGTTAGTTCAAGAATCAAATGAAGAGGTCCTCCTACAAGACAACTTATCCTTGCTTAACCCTTTAACTCCAGTGAGTGACCAAGACAGACTTTCTCCCTACTATATCTACACAATATCATGCAGACAAGTGATGAGAATAAAGAAAATATCAATTATGGTATTACTAATTGATTCGATACCAAATTCTCCAAACTTACATAATGAGAATCATCTAGCAGACAGCAAGGAGAATTACTAATGAGATCTTGGGAGTTAAAGAGTTAAAATGTTATTTTACTTGCAGTATCTTGTTTTATGTCACTGACAACTACTTGTACAAGAGTGAGGTAATACAGGTGAATGGTTGTGGAATTGCCTTTTGAAACTCTAACTACATGTACCCAAACAGTAGTTCATTCATTTGTTAAAAAACATTAACTATTTTTTCTTTATATTTTTGTTAATTATTTCCATACCCTAATAATACACATGAAAAAATTGCATTGTTTTATGTTTGGCTGAAAACGAGTGCATTTTATGAATGCAAAGTTGTAACATAAGTGCAAATTCCAATTAAAGCATGTTGTCAAAATTTCATCTGTCTTGACTTTCTGTGATACTTTTTGCATTATTGTACATTACATTGAGTTACTGACGCTTGTTGCTTACACTGTAACAAAACTATGCAAAAAAATAGGCTGTTTCTTTCCATGAACTCTATACCTTTATGCAATTCATGCTTCCCCTTCCTGAGTTACTGATGACATAAGAGATTTATGCCAGCTAAGTGCAATTTAAAGCTCTGTCTTGATTGCTCCTTTATTGTGGTCTGCTTACAGCTGAATTAATACCTTGTTTGGGAAAAGGCAACAAAGTTGTCTTGTCATAAGTTTTAGTTTAACTTGACCATTTTTTGTAGCATGGCTATATTTTCCTTTCACTGAATTAAAACACAGTTTACATGTAGAAAAATTACCATCCAATTAAGCAGTGGTCATTCAAATAATGACTCGTGATTGATGCTTGTGGATCTCTTCTTGCTTTTTCTAAGATAATGCAGCTCTCTGTTTAGGCGGATTAAAAGCTAGATGGAGAATGAAGTCAGCAATAGATGCTGGCAGCCGTGCTAACCATATAAGAAGAAACTTTGCATCTATTCCAACCAAATAACGGTCAGATGGCGAACTTGATGTTAGGGCTTCCACTATTGTGTCAACAACTTGGCTAATGTTTGACGTACGATATATTCCATCTCTCATAATTTCAATACCTGCAAAAAACCCAGGTTTAAGTTTAGCTACAAAAGTGATCAGCACATTATTTTCAGTCACTAATTTTGTCAGGTGAAGAGAGAAAAAAAGATTCAGCTTGCATAATCACAGGCAAAGACATACAAGACTTGAATGAAAGTGATCCTTGCAGTAATGTGCACTACTTAGGCAGTAGTGAAAATAAGGCCTGAAAAAAATTCAGGCCTGTACAGGATTTGAACCCATGACCTCTGCGATACTGGTGCAGCGCTCTACCAACTGAGCTAACAAGCCAACTGGGAGCTGGTCATGATGTTGGTTCTAAATAAACCCGGGAAGTGATGAAATAAACGGTTAAGAATATATGAAAGTCATATATTTGAACTGCGGATAAAGACGTGAATGAAAGTGATCCTCGCAGTAATGTGCACTACTTAAGGAGTAGTGAAAATAAGGCCTGAAAATTTTTTGAGTTGAGATTAACGTCTTTGCTTTACACAATTTTCTCCTGATTTTCTGTTAAAATGTATGATATGAATGTATGAAATGTATAAATGTTCATACTTCTGTCAAGGTATTCCTCTCCATATTCATCCTTTAGTTCATCAGTCAGTTTGTTCCACCCCTCCCTCAACTGCTGCTCAAACATATCTGGGGCACAAATGTTGGTCGAAAACGATCCTGGCTCTAAAATGCAGACTTTGATTCCCCAAGGAAGCATTTCACGCCTCAGAGCATCTGAAAATGCCTCCACACCATATTTGCTTACAGAATATGAGCCATAAAAATTGCAAGAAATAAGTCCTGTTGGTATGCAATTAAAAAAAATTAACAAAGCATAAAACTAACACAATTAGGAGCAATGAATAAAGGGGGTAAATTTCTTAAGAAAATGTGGTGCTGCATCAATGGGAGAGTATAACAGGGTTATTGAGTATTATCAACTGAGTTGATAATGTAAATTGGCCTCTTGGCTTTGAAGAGTTTCAAAGCTGACATTTTGAGCATTAGCCCTTCCTCAGAGCAAATGACGAAGGTCTAATGCTTGAAACATCAGCTTTGAAACTTTTTACAGTGGCCAATTTACATTATCAACATAGTTGACAATTCCATATTGCCAGGTTAGGAGTGAGTCATGGAAGTAACCTTGAAAACTAGGTCAAATTTACTATTAGTTCTTCTACTGATTCATCCCCATGCAAGCAAAAGGAAGTATGTTTAGGCTTCAACATATCAAGAATAAGTATCCGATATCTGTTTTTTTGTTTGTTTTTATTTTTTTTATGCAAAATATTTTTGTCTGTTACAGTACAAGCTGTCCATCAATTGGTGCTTAAAAAGTCAGTGATGATATTTGCTCTGTCTTTTTTCAAATTCTTGCAAAGTAATTTCCCTCAGTGAATTTGTGCCAAGTAAGGCTTTGATTTAGCAATTCATTAAGAGACATGCCCAATTTGTTTGTCCCCTACACACATGATCATTTAAGTGTGAACCTCACAATCATTTTATTTATAATTTTGTACAAAGTTTGTCTCTTTAATCACTAGTTATCCTTGACCTCAATTCTGCAATCAACAATCCAAAATTTCTACTAATCCACTACATGATACTGCTTTTAATGAAGTAGTGAATCTTACTATATATCTGTTATCCCTCACCTGCCATGCTTGATAAGTTTACCACTCGTCCAGAAGTCTTCTTTACCAGAGGCAAAAAGGTCTTAGTAACATCAATCATACCCCACAGGTTAACATCTGCTGAGCGTTTGAAGACTTCCATGGGTGTCCACTCAATGGGACAGAGAGATAGAATTCCTGCATTGTTTACCAGTCCCCACAATCCAGCTAAGGAAAAAAAATGAGATCTCTCTCAAATATGAGGATCAACCTCCATTACAGACCCAAGAACCACACAGTTCTGTCTGTCAGTTCTTGGGCATATCTTTGAAAAATCAGATTAAAATGTATGCTGCTCTTAAAATTGTTCAAAACCAGTAACCAGTGGTATAATATGTGCCCACCTTCTGTACGCAAAGCCATTCAATTTCTGAATAATGTAATCATTTTAAGTAAAACTGATTTATCAGGAGTAAATACTGGATTTACTAGTTTGCCTGCATAACTGCTACAATTTGACTTATGGTTGAATTACTAAAAAGGCCGCCAGCCAGTTGCCGTTTGTACCAATGTGGACCGGCCACAAGCATCACGCAATAGTTACCAAAGATGACGCGTCGCGTGACATCCACTATCATCACGCAATGCTATTTGAGAAAAGAAACACTCGACAAAAAAACCTTTTCTGCAGCTAAAAAAGCGCAAATTACCCTTAAAATAATTCGGCCTTATCTGACTCATGCCTTAGAAATCGTACCAAGTTAAACGTCAAGCAGGGAAATACAGTATATTATTACCAGTAGAAATTTCTTTCTTGACTTCGCGGTACACATCTCTAATCTGCTCAGAGCTTGTTACATCCATCTGGAAAGTTTTCAATCTCTCGCTCGTAACTGGTCTCAAACTCTGTTCTCCTTCTTTCGTTAAACAAGTTGCAATCACGCAAGCTCCCATCTTGTCCAGTCGAATAGCTGTTTCACGACCGAAGCCCTGATCACAACCAGTAATCAAGACACATTTCCCAGTTAAATCAATCCTCGACTTCGGCAACAGATAGGTTACAGAATAGAAAGTTACTATTCCAATAATAATCACAATAAGCCATGAAGGAAGAAAGGTAACAAAACTTGCGAGGTTCATGGCTCCCTGTCGAGTCAAGAATATCATTGAAATAGAGACGGAGAGAGAGAGCTGGGTTCTAGAAATAGCCTGGTCAGTTCTAAATGTAATTTACCTTGTTGTCAGGAAAGTTTATTTGTTCGTTCATTTTTAATTAAGAAATCTATTCATCGATCTTTTATTTAACGTTACTGAATACATAAATAAATGTTTATTAATTCATTCGCTCGTTTGTTCATTCATTCGTTTCTTGAATCATTCTTTCAGTTTCAGTACGCCTCTCTTGTAAGTAAACGTGCCGATGCCATTACATATATTTTGAAAGAAGGGAAGGTTGATACTAAATATTTTGAGAAGGATCTAATTTACCTAATTTTCCAGATAACTACGCTGTTACAGGCATGTAAATCCTCTATTACATGTTCTCCTTCAACATCTCACATGTTTATGGATAGGCAATGTCTTTAAGATTTGTAGTTTGTCTATCTTTGACTTGAATCAGTCTTCGATTGCTGTCTGCTGTGCTGCTTTCTGTGGTAGAAAATTGTTCCAATTCTATATCTGCATCGGCGGAGACTAGAAAATCTCTGATTATCCCAACATTTTCGCAACGAGCTCGATTTGACCTGCAAGTGACAACAACCACAAATGAGCCTAATCGAATACCCCTACAGACGATGCTGCTCCAACTTGCAATAAAAACCACCGTGACGCTTTTGTTGGTTTTCTGATCCTGATCCAGAACTTCTGATTTACTTCCTGTCACAGGAAAGGGTCTCAAGTTGCAACCTCGTTCCTATTGTTTTTCTTTAATCTTGGTTCCGGTGAAAGTGCCATGATCTTGAATAGGAAGTCAGTTATACCAGCCGGTAACATGGATAACCACACCAAGGCCTTGGCATCTAAGCCAATGACATAACGTGTCTGTGGATTTCGTGACGTAAGGGCGTGGACGACACTGTTGACTACTTTGTGTGTGCGCGGCGAGGCTACAGAGTCCAATGACTTTAAAGATATCAGACCTGCAAAAGAAGAAAAGGAAAGTTCAGAAAATAAAGCAAAGAATGGAGTGCATCAGGTATAGAAAGATACATTGCACTTTGTTGCGGAAGAGCAAGGACAGTTTTTTTCGTAACACGGCATCTTACCTTTCTGTAGTCCTTCATGGCCGTATTCTTCTTTCAATTCTTCATTTAGCCCGTCCCACAAAGACTGCCACTGATTAACCAGCACATCCCCACTGACTAATTTGGTTTTGTGAGCTCCAGCTTCAATGATACTCACATTTACCCCCCAGGGGCGCATTTCGCGCCTTAGAGCATCAGAGAAGGCTTCCACGCCATATTTGGAGATAGAATAGGCAGTCATATAAGGAAGAGTAATACGACCTGTGAGAAAAAAACAGAGATCGTTAAACCAGAGACATGTTATGCATTGCGCACAAAAATACTGCAGTCGCGGGCTCGCTTTTTTAACCGCAGGAAATCGTTAAGCTGAATTTAGGTATTATGCCAACTTCTGACCTCAGATGCAGTTCACACTTGAACCTATCCTTTGCACTAAAATTATAGATTAATGCGCCACGCCTTCTAAAACGTTTCATTGTAGGAACAGGGAAGCAAATCGTATGATGTTTCTGCGTCTAATGGTTGTCACCGTTTTAAGGTAACTTATAAGACACAACCGCATTAGATCTAGGAAACTTATGTTTCTTTTATTCAATGCAACCTTCAAATAAGTGGGCACTCGAACAAGAGAGGAAACAGAGGACCAATTTCTTTCAGCCATATTTTAGCCCTTTTCTTGACTAATGTCAAGGGACCAACATTACTATATGTATCTCATACTAAACAATCTTTTACGTTATCTATTTGCTTTTAATTTTTGGAAGCTTTCCCGCAGCCATTATCTTTGACTGATAATCATCCTTCCGTAATTTCGGAGAAAGAGTTCGCTAAGTCAGTGTGACGGTACTCCGAATGTTAATATGAATCTATTTATTTTTTTGTCATGATTTGGACAAGTGTAATTATAAGGTTTAAGTTTACATAGAGTCACTTGAGACTCACCCAATATACTTCCCACGTTGATTACGCGCCCGCGAGCCCTTTTGATAAGCGGTAGAAAAGTTTTCGTGACGCATATCATTCCCCAAAGATTTACATCAGCAATCTCTTTAAGACTTTCTAGTGGCTGCCACTCGATCATGCCCACCGTCAGTTTTCCAGCGTTGTTTACCAGTCCCCACAATCCTGTGGAGGTCAACAGACACACCAGTATGACATGAGTTACGTTGCAGCACTATTACAGTGTATTATTCTCCAACAAATCATGACATAGATTTTTCTCTTGAGGCCCATGATAACACTACTAGCTGTCAACCATTTTGACGCTGCGCCTTCTAGGTAGCTTAGCCCCATTCGGTAAATAAAAAGTCTAAACCTATAAACATTCACGTAAAGCGAACCGATCTACGACAGTGAAACAGCAGTACGCATAGCCTGCTCAACAGGCGTAACTTTGTTTGCGTCTTTGTAAGGCGGAAGCAAGCACGAGACGAGCGCGATGCGGGGGTCACGCACGAGGGAAGGAGCTTGGAAAAAAGTTACGCTTGTTCCGCAGGTTACAGTACGTAATGCATCCACAGACGTTTCTCGGAGATAAGAGGAAAACATCAGATGGCGATCTCCTAGCATTTTCATGTCTTTTTCGTTGTCTCGCGAGATCCTGCAGTCAGCGACAGAGCGTAACACGTGCAAATGTTTCGGGTCCGAGAGGTATTGTTTGTAACTTTAAAATTAAATTAGTGCCTGCCCGATCAAAGTCACCCAGTTTCAAATTTTTAAAAAAGAAAAGCCGTATGGGAATCTGTATTTCGAATGCATTAATTTATACAATATATAGAGTTACCTAAAGTCAATCAACAAAATGTTGTTGTTCATCTATTTTATGTTGTATTAGTAAACTCTAGCTATTTATTCATTCTTCGGATCGTTGGCGACCAGATTTCTGGTTAAAAAAAGTGAAATGGAGACTTGTTCCCGTTGTTCAGAAAACCAATCTACTGTCATTTGTCTTCAATCACTCTTGAAAAGCAAAACTGGAATAAATTATCGTAATTACATATATTTTAGTATGCTCAAGCTTAGAGAAATTGTCCACTTAAATTAAACCAAATTAATTTTTGGAATCGCTTGACATTTCTATACCAAAATCTGATCATCTTTAAAGTTTCAAGGAACCTTTCAGTGGCACGTCGGTAAAAATTTCTTACTGCAAGGCATTTAGTCCATTCGAGACCGTACCCGGTAGAAGAATTAGTCCACTATTTTTGAATCACTTGACATTTCTAAACAAAGACATGATACTTTTGAGAAGTTTGAAAGAACCTTTAGGTGGAAATTCAGCGAAACTTTCTGACTGTCGAGCATTTATAATTAGTCTATTTGAGAACGTGCCCGGCTGCCGAGCATTTTTAGTCACAGTGTATGATTTTTACATTAAAATTCAAATCTAATCTTTCATTAAAAAGATTTCGTGACAGAAGATTTGTTATTCAACTCCATGTACATTACATGCAAGCGGGTCTGCCATAGTTTTGACCTTCGATGAAACTGGTTATTCAACATTATGCCGCCCATAATTATTATTTTATCTCATGAGGAACTCAGTTGATCGAGAACAAAACTAGTTCCCTGACTTAACCTCGCCGATAATGGCGTTCGAGTACTGAAAATGAAAAGTTGTAACTAATTAAAATAAAGCAGGAGAAATACGGAAATCAGTGACTTCTTATTAAATCACTAGATATCGTCGCACAAAGTGTAAGTTTGATTTAGCTTTTCGTTCATTATCGTCAAACACCATTCGGAAATTAATTCACGGAACTGATCAAGAAAAGAATTGAGTTCTCACCCCTGCTTGCACAGACAGCAATTTTACCAGACAAGGTTTGAACGGCGATGTCTGCATATTCAAAACATGTCTGTTGCCCCCTCGGCTCTTCTCATCACTTTAAAAATAAGTATGATTGACTAGTTCGATTGATTTCCGGCTCTTAGAGTACGAGGAAAATGATACTTTAACAGTAAATCATGAGTCTGTTCTCTGCGGAGGAATTTCGATATATTAAATGTAATGAAGAGACGAGATTTGGGTTTTAATGGCCTAACAAGAAACAAAGCAACGTAATTGAAATTCTTATCTTCAACTTGAAGATCTATCAAATTACCTTTATTAGCTGGAATCTCGTTCTTGATGCTTTCAAAGACCTCGTGAACTTGCCTGACATTCGTAACATCCATGCAGTACGTCTTAACCCTGTCACTGCAAATGGCCCTGACCGATTCCTCCCCAGCTTTAGTTCTGCAAGTTGCAATCACGCGAAATCCCAGCTGATCTAATCGCAGCGCGATCTCTTTGCCGAATCCTGACCCGCATCCCGTTATTAGAACGTTTTTGTTAGCTCTTCCTCCGATTTCCCCCTCATCTCCGCGAAGATACAGGAAAACCCATTTCAAGATGTAGTAGGTAGCTGCCACGCTCATTACCACAAGACACAACGTTGTCATTATCGACGCCATTTGATGATCCAGGAGACAAGGGTGTTTTCAAGGGGGGAGGGTAGTTTTCACGGCTAATGCACGAGGGTAGAGAGGAGGGAAAAGCTAAGGGAGAATTTATGCCGTTCTGAACACCACTCACGCTGCCTGCTCGAGAAGGGGGTGGGGGTCACCCCTCCAACTTTCTCGATTAGCAAGAGTGCGTCTCCCATTTTCTTAATAGCAGGGTGTGTCTAGGAGAAAATTTCAAAGTAATCACAGCGCATCCCCCACCTCCGCTAGAAAAACAATTACTCAACCACCTGAATTTTCATAGATAATTTATTGATATAAATGCTCAACACAGGTTCCAGTAAAAGATGACTTGGGAAATGATTAAAGTAATTAATTATTAGGTTATTCAAGTTCTCGGTTCATAGTTTGAAAATTAAATTATTGGAGAGACTGATCCTAAG